AACTTTATCTTCTATCACGGAGCACATGGCATTGTCACACAGCTGTCCCCACTCCCCATCTCTACAGCTCACCTCCCCATTTGAAATCCCACACCTGCAAGGCAATCCCTACTCCCCTTCCTCTACCCCCTGACAACCACTTCACTTTCTGTTGCTATGAACTGAGTTTATCTTGGAAGTGGAAAATTTATTTTAATTCATCCATAGGGTTGATTTTCAAATCTAAAATAAAAACCCAACAGCAAGGGCAACTGCCATTGTAGTGTTTGAGAGAAGTGGGAGAGGAAGGAACAAAGGAGGGGAGAGGACAAGTCACCAAGAGCTGGAGCCCTTAGTGGATCAGAACCTCCATCACCTTTCTCCACTCACCAAGCCTTGGTGATCACCCATAGAGGAAGATTTAGCACCAGCAGACCTAGCAGGGAGCTGACGAGCTCGGGACGTAGCAAAGGAAGTGCAACTCCATGGGCTCTTCTTGAGGTCTTCACCTGACCTAGGAATGCCCAGCTCATGCCCACTGGGGCATCTATGTGCCACATGGCAACTGGAAACAGAGGTAAAAATAGATGTTGGCAAAACCTTAAAACATAAAATAAAACACAAGCAAGGTGAAGGCCTGTGAAGCACTCACTGTGGAGAGATCGCTTAAGTAAGGAGATGCCTGCTACGCTTTCCCTCTGTGCTCCTGTGAGAACGGTCCCACATAATCTGCTCTGGGTAGTTGATACAGGAAAATCCTAACGGCTTTGTTAGCGTCTCAGGGCGCAGCAAGCAACAGAGGGTCCAGGGATAGCAGTAGCCATACTCTAAGGACTTACTCCAACCAGAAAAAACAAAAGACAGAGCTCAGTACTGTACACAAGCTGCCCCGTTTAATCTTCACAACAACCCACGAAAAACGGTGTTATTGTTCCCTTACATATAAAAAATAGCTCAGTAAAAATACAATGCACACAAGGTCATACGGCTTGTGAAACACTTCACTTGGAGTCTGTGTTACTCCCAAGCCCACACTTTAAATTAATAGCGTTTCAAGGTAAAAAGTATTTTCTTACCCTCATGGCAAGGAAAGAAAATTATTCATAGAAATCTTTTGGCTGAAATGTTTCAATGCTTAAAAATAGCCCCAATTACGTTCAAGCAGGTTAAATGTGGAACAAGCATGAGACACGGAATGCCTCCAGTCCCTGGAGGTCGGACTCGTGACCTGGGCCAATCACTCAGCTTTCACCCTTGGCTTCCAGGAAACTTACAAACCCGAGCTGCCTCCACCTCTTCTTCGTGTCAGGGCATTGCGAGTGGAGCTGGGAATCAGTCTGATAGCCAAGGAAGTTCAATCTTTTCTCCCACCTTTTTAGTTACCAGAGTTCCTCACAAAAGTCACCAGCTAAGGTCAAGATGCAGAGACTGAGAGAAAAAGGGGATGTCTACATGGTAACCCCTCCCTCCTCAGGCCCATGGGTCTTTGTGGAAGAGGGGGAGGAAAGGGTGCAAGACTCAATGATGGTGGAGGACTTCAAGGAAACTGTGTTTTACAAGGTATCAGGGCAACTGCACACGGGAACTCACGGTAGTTATGACAGCAGACACAAGATCCGTGTAAGCTCAAGACATACAAACTCCCAATGTCCATAGTTGAGGAGATGCCAGCATCTGATGGCTGCTGGGAGGGGGAGAGTCAGGCATCCTTAGTGGTATAATACCTGGTATACTGACCACACTCCAGGGCAGGCCTCACAACCAGTAGTGGTCAGGAAACACAAACTGGTCTCGGATGGCTGGGGAGTGGGGAGTGGTAAAGGAGAGGAGGTGAGTCGTGTGGGGGTGCGGGGGGCTGTAATAGAGAGAGGGAGGAGCAAGAAGCTGAACGGCTTAAGAAGGTGAGGTTGGGGGGCTGGAGAGATGGCTCAGTGGTTAAGGGCGCTGCTTGCTCTTCCAAAGGTCCTGAGTTCGATTCCCAGCAACCACATGGTGGCTCACAACCATCTGTAATGAGATCTGGTGCCCTCTTCTGGCCTGCAGGCACACATGCAGAATACTAAGAATACTGTATACATAAATAAATAAATAAATCTTTAAAAAAAAAAAAAAAAAAAGAAGGTGAGGTTGGATCGAGGAGGAGTTGGGGAAAGGGAGAAAGTGATCAAAATACACTGTAAGAAATTCTCAAACCATTAATAAGACTTGTTATATTATCAGTTAGAAACTCACTACCCAACACCTGTCACTGGCAGAGCTATGTCAGTGACAACTATTAAGGAGGAAGTACAAAGACGCCATCCTTAAATGTGAGGACGTGGCTCCAGGTTTGGGGACTTGTCATTTATGTGAACCAGAAGCACAAAAAGACGTGCTGGGCCTCTCATCCGGGTCTAAGATACAAGCAAGAAGTGTGGCCAGGTAAAGTGTTACACGCCTCTAACCCCAACACTTCGGGGGGAATCAACAGGTGGATCTCTGTGAGTTCAAGGCCAACCTGGTCTACAGGAGTTCTAAGACAACCAGGGATGCTAAAGAGACCCTGTCTCAACCCCTCACCCCACCCGAAAAGCTGAAAAAGCGGTTTGTAGGTTTGTCTGTAAGAACGTCTGTGAGGACTTAGACAGGAGGAGAAGAGTTGTCAATAAGAGCTCTGGGAACAGGGCTCTGTGGATGGGGACCAGAGAGGGAGCGGCCATGGAAACCTCCAACAGAACTCTTGGTGGGAAATGGGTGTGCTTTGCAAAGAGACAGGAGACAAATCGAAGCAGGCTTTTTTGTTTGGCAGGTAGGGACCTTGTTTTAGGTCCCCACAAGAGGGACAAAAAGTAATGACCTGGGCAGCCTGGTGAATGTTGGACATTCTCAGCTGGGATTTCTTGACTATGCGCAGCCTCCGAAAGACAAGCGCAAATGAGTACTCAGCCATAGGCATCAGCTCCCCTCACTGACCAGCACGAACTGGGGACGCAATCGCTGTCCCCAAATGCTCAGTGGGCAACAGTCTCGCGCCCACCTTAGCCCAGATACGCTATGGGTCATGCAAGCAGACACAGTGCAGAACCTCACACCTCCAACACATGACTCCTTCCTCTGCTAGCCACAGACCGATGAGAGAGGGCAAGGACACTGTCCACCTCTGCCCCGAGGCCTCTGGATGTCCCACTGTTGTGAAAGTATGAGGCAGAAAACAAAGTCTCAAAAGTCCTAGGTTCGTGGTTCTCATCCTGAGGGTCACGACCCTTTGGGGAGGTCAAATGACCCTTTCACGGGTGGTGAATATCAGACATCCTACATATCAGATGTTTACATTACGATTCATAACAGTAGCGAAATTACAGTTATGAAGTAGCAATGAAAATAATCTTCGGTTGGAGGTCACTACAACATGAGGAACTGTTAACGGGTCACCGCGTTAGCAAGGCTGAGCCACTGGCCCAGACTTCCTGTGAGTGTGGACGAAGAGGTGCTGGTCTCTACGGCTTTTTCAGACTGGAGAATGAAAGGAACCACAGACGCTGTCACCCGGCAGAGTCAGGACACGCTGTGCCCTCATCAAGGGGCTCTCCAAAGGTACCCCAAGGGTGTCGGCACTGATTGAGTGGTTCCCAGGGGACCAGCAACTCACAACTTGGAGGAAAAGTCTTCCGGCTCTCCCTGCCGTCTTCTCTCCTCAAGGAAAATGGCAAAGCCTGTTTTCTGCACCAACCCACGGATGAGGAGGTGGCAGAGCTCAGACTTCTGATCCATACTCTGTCAGATCCGGCCCTGCACTGTGGGAGGCTCAGTTCCTCAAAGTAAAACTGAACAAGCTCCCTCTTGCCAGGAGATGAACCCTGGTCAGCCTGTTCCTGCTCAATACAAGCACCTGAATGTCTTCTGTTGGCTCCTACTTTGTGGAAAGTCTGTGGGTTGCTCTAAGACAGACCTCACAGCATCTCTCAAACTTTTAGACACAGACAACACCGGTTGTGTGCAAATGTCACTTGTCTGGGTTTCCTCCACCCCTCCCGGCACACAAGCCAGTGTCCATGAACATACACTCACAGACTCATTTTTTGAGGAAAGCCATCCGCTTGGCATGGTTCCTGACGATTCAACTACTTCGGTGTGACTGAGGCAAGTGTCCCGCTCCAAGACCAACCCTGCGGTGACTTCAAAACACCCCACCGAAGAAAGGCACCCTGGGGAGAGGGAACGCCTCCCCGAGGCAGCCTGAAAAGGGCAATCCTGATTCCAGTCGTGCTGAAACTATTCCCAACACCAGCCCAGGAAGTTCCTTCTTTCGGCGTGCTTAGCAGCTCAGCAAACCCAGACTTGCCTTGGCAGGCGCCGGGTCTCTCTGTATCTCTGAGCCCTGGAAGGGGTAGGTTTCCAAAGGGACTTTCCTGTCCTCACTCTGTTTGGGGATCCCGCAGCGATCAGGATTGGCAACCCTGCCTGACGGATGCAAAAATGCCGGTGCTGACACCTTAGGCTCCCGTTTGCGTACACATGCATACTACACACACCACGCTTACACGTACGTACCTTTCGCCCTCCATTGTGGGAGGCCCGGCGGGGTTAGTAGCCGCCAAACTGTGCGTGCACCCAGGAGCTAGCGCTGCTCTCGGGGTTCTCCCAGCAGCCCGGTGAGGGATTCTGATCAGCAACAGTGATTCAGCATGGCTGCAACGGAGACCTCCTCCCTCCCGGTCCTCCTTCCTCTGACTTACTCGCGGCAGCTTCTACCGCAGAAGCGACAGAGGTAGAAAATGTCTTACCCAGAGCTCCCTGCAGCCCTTTCAGCTGCTAAAAGCAGCAACCCACTCGCTCCCCCTCCCCCGCAGGCTGGCTTCTCCTCTGTCTCCTAGGAACAGCCACAGCTTCGGCGGCGGCTACCCAAGGGCTATGCCACCTTTCCAACTGCTTCCTCATCTGCTCAGGCATCCCCAGCCCTAGCGACTAGCCCACCCCACGGTCTCCTGCCTCCTCTGCCGTTGCAAAGCACGGGAGGAATTCTCACTAACAGAGAAAAGCTGACCCCTCCTTCTCTCCTCCTCCTAGGCTGTGTGAGTCTGTGGGCCTGGCCGCATCGCTGGAATGAGGAGGCCCCTCTGTGGCCTGCGGTGGAGTTTACCCACCTGGGGAAATTCACTTGTAACATCGGCTCTGCCTAATTTCCCTCACCAAATCCACAGTAGTTCCGAGAGGCGACAGTGAGACAAGCGGGATTGGGGCCGGTGGGTGTTATAGAACTGAAGCGATTAAGAATAATTATACAAGGGAACTGGAGCAAGATGCTCTTTGTTGTTGTGGGGGGCGGGGTTACAACTGAAACAAGCCCCTTGTACTACAAAAAACGTCAAAGATCATTGCCACGCTGTCGTCCTGGGTCACGCTGAAAGGCCACCATAAAGCTGAAACACCGCCAACTGTAGCTCCAGCTCACAGGTCTACTACCGAGCTGTTGGCCCTACTTGGAGTGGTTCCTCCAGCCTCGGTCCTTGAATCTTTATAGAAGGGCAATAGATCACAGGTCTTCTAAAAACCTTCTCTACGTGATACCAATGACATCGGTGACCTCCAAAATAACTCCAACTGTTCATCTCCCCTGATGAACATCTCGGGTGCTCTTTGTTGGCATGCCTAGTTTCTCAGGCTAACAGAATCTTGTGGAAAGCCAGAAACTAGCTGTGTCTCCTAGACATAACCAACAAACTCAGAGATAACTGGGTCAATTAGTGATAAAAATCGCTCAGCAGCTTCCCCGATGGTGCAGAGAACACAGGTGTGTGTGTCCCTGTTCTAGGATGCCTCACCCACCGACACACCACAGGCCGAGTGTGTGGCCTTCAGCTCAGTCCTCTTCCCCTGCTCCTGGTGGATACTCAATCTCATTCACGAGACAATCCCTCTTGTCTTTGGGAATGTCCCACTTCCTTCTCAGTATGCCCTGGACATCTGCTTAACAGGGAACTTTTCCTGGGTTCTCACGTTTGTTCGGAACTTCTAGGGGGATACAATAATGCGTGTGAAAATATAAGAGACACTCACGTGTGTTACTGTTCTAGTTCTGACCTGTGACGCTCATGTGTGTTACTGTTCTAGTTCTGACCTGTGATGCTCATGTGTGTTACTGTTCTAGTTCTGACCTGAGACGTTCACATGTGTTACTGTTCTAGTTCTGACCTGTGATGCTCACGTGTGTTACTGTTCTAGTTCTGACCTGAGGCGCTCATGTGTGTTACTGTTCTAGTTCTGACCAGACGCTCATGTGTGTTACCGTTATTGCTCTGATCTGTTAAACTTCTTCAGTGCTGCACAGACCTCAATTCATCAAGCAAGCGGGAACACAGGTACAGAAACGAGATGGATTAATGACTTGAACTTGACATAACATTCTAACCTCAAACTAAGGTGAGTCTCAAAGTTTATCTCCCGACCTCCCAGTGTCCTCTTAGCTGGGAGCACTACCCAAAGTCATTTTCCCTCAGATGAGAGGAGCCCTGAGTGACAGCTCACACCCAACGGCCCGGTATCTCCGTTTTTTCACAGCCAAACCCCTATCTTTCTCCCGCCACTTCCCTTCCTCTTCTAATCAGCTCCGTGCTTCTGTTCCAGATATTTCCTCTGGCCGTCAATCACGGGGACCACGGAAGCTGAACATCACAAATAAGGAAGTGAGATCCCAGAATCCGTGCCAGAGCACGTACGGGCGTAGGAAGTCAACTGCATGAGCCACCAGAGGGATGCAAAGCTGACTTCCCTGTGCATGCCTTCATTCATGTCTTCACCACACAGGAAAGAGGAAGGGGAAAACCAGTCTGAAAAGGAAATACTTAAGGTTTAAACTTATTCACGTCCAAAATGAATTATTAGAGCCAATATAAAGCCCCAAGTGGTTTCCTTGCAAGCTGCTCTTGCCACACTAGAGTGGTCTGGGTGTATCAGAGCCAGACCATGCCTGCCTTCCCCGCCACCCATTACCCAGGAGCCAGGGTGGAGAAGGCCATCCACGAAAGCCGTCTACCAATGCTAAGGGCAGAGCTGAGCCAAGAGCCGGGCCACAGCCTGATCTCCTCAGGATAGGCTAATCCTTCTGACAGAACTCAGACGAAAGACTGCTTCAATCTAGCAAGGAGAAGCAAAAGGACCCAAGTGGTGCCTGCCTGGAGGAAAATCCCGGTCGTGAACTGTCCCGGAGTATAGAAATAGAAGAGACACTCACCACATGTTACTGTTATAGTTTTGACCTGTTAAATGTCTTCACTGTGGCACAGACCTCAAGCAAAGATGGAACACGGGTTCCTCCCATGACTCAGGCTACCTCCCCAGTCAGCCAAGCACACCTGGTGACCCCAGGCCTTCACCCCAAAGCAATTTATGCAGTCAGCATTTCCAGCCGCAAGGCTGTCCATCAGCTTCATTCAGAATCCTCTGGCTCCCAGCTGGCTTGAGAAGAATCAGTGTTGAAAGAAAAACTTCCTTTTTAGGTCTTGATTTGGTCTAGAAAGCTCTCTCTCCTGAGTTCTCCCTCAGCACAGGGAGCCAGGACGTCGTCTGAAGACACTTAGGCCAGCCATGCCTTCCCATAAGGCCCCTTTCCCTCTTTTCTGGCTCCCACAGTGCTTTGCTCTCTTACTCGGCAGGGGCTGTAGCACAGCACTATCTCACGTCACACTGTGCATCTGAACCATCTACCTAGCTCATTAGAGCATAAGCATTGGGGGTCAAAGGCACAAAAGGACTTTTAAGGAGATGAAAATATTCCTTGTCGTGACGGCTTAGGGGGTGCCGGAGAAATAGCTCTGTGGTTAAAAGCATGTATTGCTCTTGCCAAGGACCTGAATTCGGTTCCCAACACCCATGTCAGGAGGCTCACAGCCACCTGGGGCTCCAGCTCCAAGGGTGCTTGCATTCACCCATGCACTTATGCAAACACAGTCCTACACATTTTTATATAATTAAAAATAAAATCTTGTTTTAAAAAGAGACTACTGCATTTTAAAAATTATACACTTAGAAAGGGAACGTCTACCTAAGTCTGTGTTACAGAAAAAATACTGGACAATTAGGTTCTTCCTCACACCTGTGACAGAGCTCAGGATGAGGAATTTCACAAACCCCGTAGGTGACTAAAAAGCACAGCTGGATGAGAAGACCGCCAGACTTTGATATGCTAACAGGGCACGGTGCAAATGTGCTCACCAGATAGACAACCCCATTCACGTTGCTTTAGGAGCATCATTGTTCCCTTCTAAAATAAGGGGCTAATATCACTAGTTATGTCTGAGAATTCTTAGTTTAAATACAGACGTGAGCAGGCAGCAGAAAAACTGGCCTATGACAAGTATCTAGAAGCCACCAGTGGCACCCAGTCCCACGGTCTTCCTCAAGGTTATTAAACAACCTTGACCCCCTGATCTTGGAACCAAGGAAAAAGTTAGTCAGGTTGAGAGGGCGTTTGTGGAGTTATCGTCCGCTCCCAGTGCCACAGCTGCTAACAGGTCATCAAGGACTGGCCAAGACTGGGGCTAGGGGTAGAGCCCACCTGCCTGTCTGCCTCCCAAAGTCCCGACAGACTCTGTGCCACTTGCTGAATGAACTCTAACTATTTAAAGTGCTCTGGAAAAGCAGGAGGAAACTGAGAAAAAACCTAGGTCCCCCAACAGTCCAGCAGATCACTACCTGGTCCAGGGGGACACTTGCCTTCCATCCCTTCCGCTCTGAGGACAGAGAACGCGTGTCCCAGATCAGTCTTCTAAGCATGACCACGCATAGATCACTCCTGAGATCTGTGCTCCACCTCACGATGCTCGCATCTCCTCTGCCTCCAATTAACATCGCAGTAAGCAACCGCAACAGCTCCCGCTCCCTCTGTATTCGCTCAGAGCCGGGCGACAGGCTCCACATCGCTGACTCACTTGTATCCCTTGTTTATTTTTATCCCCTCCAAGGCAGTGGTTGTCAACCTATGGGGGAGGGTACACATATCAGATATCTGTATATCAGATATTTGCATCGCAATTCATAAGAGTATCAAAATTATAGTTATGAAGTAGCAACAAAATCATTTTATGGTTGGAGGTCACCACAGCCTGAGGAATTGGACGAAAGCATTAGAAAGGTGGAGAGCCCCTGGGCTAAGGGTTGTTGTAAACACGAGAGGACTGAGGTTCTGAAGTAAAGAACTTGACCAAGGCCTGACCAAGGGTGCCTGGCCCAGACAACTGTCAACCTCACTTCTGATTTAGGAACCCCTAAATCAGGAGACACCCAAAGCTTCCAAAGCCCTCCAGGAACGGAAGCAGCCTCTACACACCTAAGGGATTTCCAATGCTCAAGTTTTTCCCAGGAACGCTCTCCTTTCCCAGGTCTGCAGCCCACAACTGGCGCCCTCTGCTGGTAAACCTGTGTATCTCTCCTAGCAAAAGTGAAACCGCTTTTCACGGGTCAGCTGTCTAGAAAGAAAAGGAAAAGCCTGCTTCAGTCACAGACAGATTAGAGAATGACCATTAAGTTCAGCTTTGATGGTGTTGGCCTTTTGTCTACTGCTCCCACCTCACCTTTCAGTTCTTTTCTGGATACAAAGAAAGCCTAACTGTTCTGCATAAAAAGGTTAACTATGAACGACACATTCTCCACCACCAATCTAGCACACCGCAATGTATGTGTGTGCCAAGGTAGGATGCGCACACCCAGGAGCTAGAGATTGCTCTTCTGTAGCACTAACGGCGAACTCCATAGCCTTGCACAGGGTGGGTGGACACCAACCAGCGGTCTACATGGGCCAAGAGCACTACTGGTGTAGCCTCCAGAGCACGGGATGACTGGTGTATGCCACATGCCCAGCTAGGCACCGAGGGTGCACACATTTGAAATAATGTAAAACCCCACATGCAGCTGAGCATGGTAATAGAGGGCTATACTCTCAGGTCCTGCCGGCCTCAACCAGAGTTCGAGGTCAACCTGAATAACTTAGTAAAACTGTCT